CGATGAAATCGTAAAAGGGGTCGTTCTCCATGTCCGCGATGTTGTCGCGCACGCCCACCTGTCGTTTCACACAGTACAGTACGGTACAGTGCAGAAAAACACACGGTAAATGCTGTTACAAATAACGTCTATTTTCCGTTCCAGGTTCAGCTGCTCCCACGTTGGTAGCATGCAAAGGTGAGCTACGAGGCAGGATAGCGGCGCACTTGACATTTATCTTACCCACTGTTGCGTGAAGACTTCGTCGAAAACCCACCCGATGTGGCTGTGCCAGAAGCCATCGCACGGCGAGTGCGGGTCGCCGGGCGTGTCGACGAAGCGATGGTGGTAGCGGTGCGCACTCACCCATTTCTTGGGGTGGCCCTGCAGGGCGCGACGGAGAGGAAACAGAAAGAGTAGTTGTTTGTGCGGGGAAACAGAATGCGTCTGTACGCGAGAGAGTAGGTTTAAAAGAACTCACTGTCCGTCACAAGAAAAGGAAATCAGCTTAGAGAACAAGCTACCACAGCGATCAACGAGCAGGAGCAAGGAGAAGCGAGCAACGAGAAACGGCGGCGCACTGGAATGGCGAGAACCCCGAGGTAGGCGAAAGTGTACTCAAGCCACTTGGGAAGCGTGAAAGAACGATGCGCCAGATTGCGGTGGTATGACAGGGTGACCCCAAACAGCCCTGGAAGGTAGAGCATCAATTGAAATGTAAAGAGGATGAGCATCAACGCTCGATTACAATCGCTGATTCACGGTTGCGGAAGAAGAAGAGGAAGAAGAAGAAGAAGAAGAAGAAGAAGAAGAAGAAGAAGAAGAAGAAGAAGAAGAAGAAGAAGAAGAAGAAGAAGAAGAAGAAGAAGAAGAAGAAGAAGAAGAAGAAGAAGAAGAAGAAGAAGAAGAAGAAGAAGAAGAAGAAGAAGACGAAGACGACGTTTGGAAGCGAAGTAAAAGCGCATCTGTGATAACGTAAAGGCTGACGAAGAGGCCAAAGTTTTCCCAGGAGTAGGTGGCTGGAGCGAAGAGGCACAAGCCATGGTACAAGCTCAAGTTGACGAGGTAGTTCCAGTCCCTCGCCGTGTACTCCTGGTTGAAGAAATACGGCCGCTTCTGCTACACAACCACGTCCGAGAACGGCACTTTTACCGGCTCATACGGGGACGAATCTGCCGCGGATCTGCTGGCGGCGGGTGGATTGGGAGGAGGCTCCGCCGCGACGGCGCACGAGATTTCTCGTCTCTTTGACTGCAGGCCGACGGTGGGAGCCGCAGTGGGTTTGAAGGATCGGATGAATGGAGTCGATGAGACGGGCAATCTCGGGGAGGCTCGGAGTTTGGACGACGCGAGCGGTGCGAGGGCTCTGACTCCGGCAGCAGCGCACGCGGGAATTCTCTGGATCTCCGACCCTCGGGTAAAGAAGGCCCCCGATGGGAGGACGGCCGCCGAAGTGGTCGCCATGGTGCCCTAAGAGCTCAACTTTTGAGACGTCTCAAAAGGTGCCCTATGAGCTCAAATCCACACAGGACGCGAGAGTGATCAGCCCTGAACAAAACTTGAAATAAGCTGAATACATGTTACTAGGAAGGTCCAGCAAGGAGGTAATCAGTATGAGGGGTGGGCTTGGGTTGCTCGTTCTCGCATGCGGGGTGTCCCCAATGGCCTCGTGAAGTGAGGGTGTTTTTGAGACGTCTCAAAACACCCTCACTTCACTTGGGTTGCTCGTTCTCGCATGCGGGTTTCCCTAATGGAGCTCGGCTCGGCTCGGTGGCATTCCGGCGGTTGCGCGGGGTTGACGGAGGCTTGGCTTAGAGCGTCGGAACTATCGAGAGATTACTGAGACGGGGAGCTCTTCTCAACCTTGGGAGTCCATCCGAACCTGCGGATGAAACACGAGGATGCCCCACAATCGCATCAGCGACATCTGGCCGTTCACAGTGCGGCTGGAACTTTGCCGGCTCAGCACGGACCAATGACATTGTTCTGAACTCACATACATCTGCCTATCACCCGCGCGACGCCGTCCCTTTCATGGGGACGGGCAACCTCACGTCGTTTACTAGCCCCTGCTGTTCGGTTTGCCTTGTGGCAGATTCTTCTGTAAAACTGGAATCCAAACCTGTCAGGTTTGACGCGGTTCGCGATTTTGTGGGCCGGCTGGCTTGGGAAAAGGATCTAAGTGGGCTGAAAAGAGAAGACTAGCAGGGCGGATGAGCGAAGTGGTAGGCCCGAGAAACCGAACCTGGAATTTTGGAGGGAATGACAGAGCGCCCAAATTTCTCCTCTTCTAATTCGTTTGTCAGGGATTTTGAACTTCCCACATTGTGTTTCTCTATAAGGAACTTTACGTGTTCTCCATTGTTTTTTCTGTCGTTTACTTGTACATTTTATATTTTCTATTATACAGATTCAGTCACGGGTTCTCTGATACGGAATAACCCACGTTGTTCATGGTTATTTTCTTCTCAAGGAGCGCGCTTCTCAGGACGTGGGCTTATTCTTTTAAACAAATAACAAGATGCAATTCTGGACTCAGAAAGATAAACACGGTGCATCCAGTTGCTGACAAACCTCTTATCGCGTCAGTCAATGTGCTTGTTGCTTCATGACGCACTCCCACTTCTTTGGTTCCTGGCCACGTGAATTTTCTACTCCAGAGTCCAGCCAGACCACCATCATTACACTAATTTGGTGCTGTTTCGAGGGGAAAAGTACATGCCAGCTACTCTGTTTTGAGTCACACACTACTCGGGGCTGTCCGCCAGCACCATTATAGCAAAAACAACGGGATAACGACGGGATCAGGAATGTTCCTCTCGCCTTCCTGATCCCGTCAGTTGGAGTTCGTTTACCTCCGTCAGCCGTGTCAGCCCGTGAAAAAAGTGCCGAGCCTCACCTACCGTCCAAACCAACAAACAAACTGGGTGTCTGGCGAACGCCCACTTTTGTCCACCAAATCTAACGTTCCGACGGCATATGGAGGCGGGGACGAAACTTCGTCCCCAGGCAAAATACCATCCCCTAGCCATGCCATCGTCATGCCGCGTTTTTCAAAGCACAGCGGTGGCACAGCCGACGTATTGCTGTTCAGAGGGGAACCCTTGAACAAGCCTGCAGTTTGACAAAGGAGGGTTTGTATACCCCCCATTTTTCCATCCCAAACACACCTTCGAAATGCCCCCCGCACATAACTTGGTCGTGAGCACGAGGTGGCGGGGGTTGTGTTTGAGCGGGAGGTGTTTTATTTGCGCTTTTGACCCACGCTGAGCAAATTTTGGCCAGTGGGCAGCACAAGGGTCAGTGAGGCTAAACTTTCGCGCCACAGGCGGGAAGGTGGGGATGGACCTTCCCGATGCGGTTGCGTAATTTCCCCTTTCGTGTGCGCGAAGTTTCTTGGGCGGCATTACGCCCAAACCTCGGAGGAGGGTTCCGCCCCCGTTTCCATATGCGGTCGCGATGCCGATGCCATCGTTTTCTGTTCAAGAATCGATGTGCTGGCGAACAGCACCATCGTATGTGCAGAGAGGTTGGTAGAGGTCGTTAGAGGTTGTCGCCATGGCTATCGTCGCGACCAGGGGTCTCCGCTCTCCGACCTTGCTCCTCGCGCCACGTGGCATCTCGATAAGCGGTCCAGATTCAGCCAATTGTGCACGCTCGCGCTGTAATGTCCGGCAAAACTATCCAAAATTTCTCGGCACTTCCCGAGTATCCGCGCCGCGTGTCGGTCGCGTGACTGTAGCCGCCGCTACAACCTCGCCGTCCCAAGATACCACCGCCCCCGGTCAATCCCTCCCCGACCGCCGCGTGTCCGGCTCCAATTGGTCGCAAAACCGCGGGAGCAGTAGCAGCAGCAGCAGAACCGAAGAGATCACCAGCGTTGTACGCGATATAAATGATTTGTCACGCGGATACGACTCGTCGCTGGAGTATCTACAGGAGCAGGACTCCTTCTCGCGCTACTCCGGCTACATTGCGCGGGCCGCGGGGCCGGGGGGGGACGAGTGGGCGGAGTACGATGCGCGCGCCATGGCGGAGTACTTCCGCGCGCGCCCGCTGCTGGTGGCGCGGCGGCTGGCGCAGATCGGCGCGGTGATGGGCGGGTGGGCGGGGAAGCGGTGGGCGGACGCGAAGCTGGGGCGCGCGGAGGAGACCTTCCAGGAGCGCGCAGGGGAGCTGCGCCAGGCGCTCGTGCTGCTGGGGCCGGTGAGATGGAAGGGGGGGAGGGGCTTTAAAACCGGGGTGCACATTCAGCTGAATGTGCATCAAAGGTTATCCCTTGACTGAGTGGGTTACGAGGTGTGCTTTCGACCCCTTCAAGTCGAAATTCGTTTCCCCCCTCCCCCGCAATTTCGTTTCCCCACGCCCCCGCAATTTCATTTCCCCCTCCCCGTCGAAATTCGTTTCCCCCCTCCCCCGCAATTTTGTTTCCCCCCTCCCCCGCAATTTCGTTTCCCCCCCCTCCCGCCAATCTGTTTCATCCCTCCCGCCATTCGGTTTCACCCACTCCCGCCATTTCACCCCCTCCCGCCACCTACGAAATGCCCGAAGCTCTAGCGGAATCATTTTTTTGTCGCCCCTCGTGAGCCAATCACTGTTTTTCTCCAAACCCCCTTCCCAACATCTCAAGCCGAACCGCGTTGAATGTGCACCCTGGTTTTAAGTGGTGCTGCTGGTCGAGGGAAGAGGGGGCCAAGGGTAGTTTCAGTTCCCAGGGTGTGTAATTGCAGATGGGTGTGAAGGCACAATCACACATTCAGTTTCCAGGCGACATTCAGTCACTCTGGCGCCCTCCCTCCCTCCCTCCCCCCCTCCATGCCTGCCCGCCTGCCTGCCTGCCTGTGTGCCAGCATGCCTTTCTTCATCTCCCAGTCAGCCATCCACCCGCCCCACTTATTATCACTCACTCTCACTCACTCTCACTCACTCTCTCTCACTCTCTCTCACCTTCCTTCTTCACATGTGCCGATTTCCCCTACCCGACCACCACCACCCTCACCCCCCTTGCACCCACCCCCCAGGCCTTTGTGAAAATCGCCCAGGCTGTCTCCTCTCGCCCGGTATGTGTCCTTCTCCTGGGATGCCCATGTGCCCACGTGCCCATGCCTGCGACATGCGTCATGCCGCATGCATGTGTGATGTGTGCGTGTATGCTTGCGCACACAGCATCAGCTGTTCCGTCAACTATCCATCGTTCAAGTGCCGTGCATGCCATCCATTTGTGCGTAGTCCTCCTCTTCTGAGCATGCCTTGTGCCATGCCATGTGTCATGCATGCCACGTGTCATGTCCTTCAAGGCGCCACGTCAACCCATTCCAGCATGCCACTCCCCCCCCCCCCGCCCCAATCCCCTGCCCGCCCAACGCCTCACTGTCCCCATCCCTCTCACTCTACTCCCCTGTATGAGAACACGATCCCTCCGGACTACGTGGTCGAGCTCTCACTACTGCAGGACCGCAGAGCGCCCGTCCTTGATGCATTGCACCTCGCAGCCACATACTCCTTGAGCGCACAATCACCCTCCCTCCCACACTCAACTCCCCTACTGCCCCCCCACCCGCCCACCCTCCCCTCCAATCAGGACGTGATCCCACCAGAGTACGTGGACGAGTTGTCACTCCTGCAGGACCGCATAGCGCCCTTCCCCACGCGCACGGCACTAGACCTCATCGAGGCGGAGCTGGGCGTGCCAGTCGACCTGCTCTTCGACCAGATCTCGCCCTCCCCTGTTGCTGCTGCTTCGCTGGGACAGGTGGGGACTGGGGGGGGTGGTGATTAGGGCAGGTAGTGATCGGGGCAGGTGGTGACTTGGGCAGGTGGTGACTTGGGCAGGTGGTGACTTGGGCAGGTGGTGACTTGGGCAGGTGGTGACTTGGGCAGGTGGTGACTGGGGTAGGTAGAGGTTGTTGCAGGTAGGGACTGAGAAAGGAAGGTCTGGGGCGGGATAATGACTAAACTGGGTACGTATGCCCCTTGTGCTGTGCCTTCCCTCAGCTGAGTCCCGCCCCGCTTGCTGCTGACTCCTCCCCTTGCCCCTGGCGGTGACTGCTCAAAGCTCCTCACGGCCTCCACTCCACCTCTCTCTCATCCCCCCCCTCTCTTTTCCCCTACTTGATGCTCACCTTTTTCTTCCCTTCCCCACTCCCCCCACGTGTGCGGTCCTGCCTTCTCCCATTGGGCCTCCCCTCGTTCTCCCCCCCTCCCAGGTGTACGAGGCGAGGCTGAGGGCGGGGGGGCAGCGGGTGGCCGTGAAGGTGCAGCGCCCGGGAGTGCGGGCAGCCATTGCGCTGGACATCTTCATTCTGCGCCTCTTTGCCGGCTGGTTAAGGCAGTACCGCAAGTTAAACACAGACCTTCAAGCAGTGGTGGACGAGTGGGCTACGAGCCTCTTCAGGGTATGGCTGCGGTGTGGTGTGGTGGGGTGTGGTGTGGTGGGGTGTGGTATGAATGTATTTGATTTCCATCTGACAGAGGTTGAGGCAAGGCACTCGACTCACAAGCTCTGAATTCTAATACGGCAAGCAAGCAAGCCATGCCGGTTCGCACTTTCCCGTGCCCTGATTTGCGCTGATTTGCGCTGATTTGCGCTGATTTGCTCTGATTTGCTCTGATCACTTTTGAGACGTCTCAAAAGTCGGTCCTCACTTTCCCGTGCCCTAATTTGCCCTGATTTGCCCTGATTTGCTCTGCTCACTGCTGTGCTGGGCTGTAATGGCAGGAGATGGACTACGAGCAGGAGGCACAAAACGGAATTAAATTCGCGTAAGTCTCATCTCACTCATCCCATGTTCTCACCCACTGAATTTTCTCACCTCATGTAGTAGTGTCTGTATGTGCCGTGGCCTCACCACTCCATGTGAGGGAGTGTAGGCTTGCAATCTTCGTGTGCTCCCGGATCAGCTTATTTTGTGCTTTTTGCAAACTTCTTCTCATCCGCTCCCCACTCCACACCCCCCCCACACCCATCCTCCCAGCGAGCTGTTTGGGCAAATAGAGAGGGTGGTGGTGCCATGCATGTATCCGGAGCTCACCACTCGCACTCACTGCATGCTCTCACTAGAGCTCACCCCCACACACCCATCCCCCCATACCCATCCCCTCAGCGAGCTGTTTGGGCGGATAGACAGGGTGGTGGTGCCGCGCATGTATCCCGAGCTCACCACTCGCCGCGTGCTCATCATGGAGTGGATCGATGTGAGCTGTGCTTATAGTGGATCCATGTGAGATGTGCTTGTACTGGGTCGATGTGGCATGTGAGGAGTAGGTTGATGCGAGATGCTTGCACTGAGTCAATGCATGCATTGTGTGACCCAAAAATGTTTATGGCAGATTCGCGCTTTGCTTCCCCATCTCACTCCCTCCCGTCCTCTCTCTCCCTCTTCCTGCATGGCACACACAGGGCCAGCGCCTGGCAGACAGCAAGGACGTCAGCCTTGTGGAGGTGAGAGGGGGTGGTGAGGGGGTGGTGAGGGGGTGGTGAGGGATGAGAGAGGATGGTGAGGGGTGAGAGAGGGTGGTGGAGGTGAGAGCACCTCCTCCTCCTTCAAATGGTCCCTGCCATTCAAAAAAGCCTCATCAGTTCCATTTTTTCAAAGCACGCACCAGCGCCCCAGCTCCTGCACTTCCTCCTTTCTCCCTCAATTTTGATCCGTCTCAATCCCTCATCTGCTTCTCCTTCCCCGTACCCCTCTCATCCATCCCCTTGTCTATCCCCCCTCCACCACAACCTATCCCTCCTCCACCCACTACCCGCCCGTCACACAGGTGGGCGGGTACTGCTCACTCTCACAGCTGCTGGATTACGGATTCTACCACGCCGACCCTTGAGACGTCGCTAAGGCCCTCCTCCACGCACTATTTATTCCTGCCATCCCCCCAACTTCCCCCCCGCTCTCCCCCCACAGGTGGGAGTGTACTGCTCGCTGTCACAGCTGCTGGACTATGGGTTCTACCACGCCGACCCGCATCCCGGCAACTTCCTCCTCACGCGCGACCAACGCCTCGCGTACCTGGGTGGGTGAGCTGGCAGCTTGAGGGGAGCGCACCTGGGTGGGTGAGCTGGCAGCTTGAGGGGAGCGTACCTGGGTGGGTGAGCTGGCAGCTTGAGGGGAGCGTACCTGGGTGGGTGAGCTGGCAGCTTGAGGGGAGCGTACCTGGGTGGGTGAGCTGGCAGCTTGAGGGGAGCGTACCTGGGTGGGTGAGCTGGCAGCTTGAGGGGAGCGTACCTGGGTGGGTGAGCTGGCAGCTTGAGGGGAGCGTACCTGGGTGGGTGAGCTGGCAGCTTGAGGGGAGCGTACCTGGGTGGGTGAGCTGGCAGCTTGAGGGGAGCGTACCTGGGTGGGTGAGCTGGCAGCTTGAGGGGAGCGTACCTGGGTGAGCATGCCTGGGCATGGGGCGCATGGAGCGTGACATGTGGGAGGCGTTCATGTGTCACTCACATGCGGTGACTGAGGTTGGTGTTCTGTCTCACCAACCCACCTACTTACCGCACGTTTCCTCTCACCCCCCGGCCAGACTTTGGCATGATGGGGCGCATGGATCGGGATGTAAGAGAGGCGTTCATCCGAGCAGCGGTGCATCTGGTCAACCGCGAGTTTGACTTGCTCGCAGGGGACTTCGTCACTCTCGGGTGAGCTGCGTTTTCTCGCCTGGGTTTGCCGTGCATTCCTTAGTCGACTCAATCGTCACCTCATCCGAGCAGCGGTGCATCTTGTGAACCGCAAGTTCGACCTGACTTTTGAGTCGACTCAAAAGTCACCTCGTTACAATGGCACACGACATCTTGTGAACCGCGAGTTCGACCTGCTGGCCGGGGACTTCGTCACTCTCGGGTGAGCCGCATTGCAATCGGCTCCTTTGCACCCTCTCGCTGACTCTCCACTGCACAGTCTACACCTCCTCCGCACCTTCCCGCCCAGCCTGCTGTTCCCGGGGCACGCGATGGGCAAGGCGTCATACATCCTTCTCCCATGTCCGCTTCCCTCCTTCTCTGCTCCCCTTTTCCCTCTTCCACCGTGCAGCCTACTCCCACCGGGTCAGGAGATGAGCGAGGTGTCATTCACCCTCACGGGCATTTTGTAGGATGCTGTCAGCTCCGCCTTTTGAGGCACTTCAAAACTTCCTCCCCTTTCCCCCCCTCACCGTGCAGCCTACTCCCACCGGGCCAGGAGATGAGCGAGGTGTCATTCGCCCTCACGGGCATTTTGTAGGATGCTGTCAGCTCTGCCTTTTGAGGCACTTCAAAACTTCCTCCCCTTTCCCCCCCTCACCGTGCAGCCTACTCCCACCGGGGCAGGAGATGAGCGAGGTGTCGTTCGCCCTCACGGCCATATTCAAGGATGCGGTCAGCTCCGGCGTGCGGAACATCAGCTTCGGCAGCCTCGCCACTCAGCTCGGCCAAACCATGTACGCTCGGCCTAACCATGTGGGCTAAGCCTAACCATGTGGGCTAAGCCTAACCATGTGGGCTAAGCCTAACCATGTGGGCTAAGCCTAACCACGTGGGCTAAGCCTAACCATGTGGGCTAAGCCTAACCATGTGGGCTAAGCCTAACCACGTGGGCTAAGCCTAACCACGTGGGCTAAGCCTAACCACGTGGGCTAAGCCTAACCACGTGGGCTAAGCCTAACCACGTGGGCTAAGCCTAACCATGTGGGCTAAGCCTAACCATGTGGACTAAGCCTAACCATGTGGGCTAAGCCTAACCATGTGGGCTTAGCCTAACCACGTGGGCTAAGCCTAACCATGTGGGCTAAGCCTAACCATGTGGGCTAAGCCTAACCATGTGGACTAAGCCTAACCATGTGGGCTTAGCCTAACCACGTGGGCTTAGCCTAACCATGTGGGCTAAGCCTAACCACGTGGGCTAAGCCTAACCACGTGGGCTAAGCCTAACCATGTGGGCTAAGCCTAACCATGTGGACTAAGCCTAACCATGTGGGCTAAGCCTAACCATGTGGGCTTAGCCTAACCACGTGGGCTAAGCCTAACCATGTGGGCTAAGCCTAACCATGTGGGCTAAGCCTAACCATGTGGACTAAGCCTAACCATGTGGGCTTAGCCTAACCACGTGGGCTTAGCCTAACCATGTGGGCCAAGCCTAACCACGTGGGCTTAGCCTAACCATGTGGGCCAAGCCTAACCATGTGGGCTGAGCCTAACCGTGTGGGCTCAGCCGAACCGTGTAGGCCAATGTGTGCTATACTGCCCAACGCTGAATGCTCCAGGTCGTCATGTCGTCATCCCCATCCAACCCCTCGCCGGTGCACCCTTCCCCTTGTGGTTCGCTGCTACTCCCATCATGAGCCTGGATCCTTGGGCTAGTGCACCCTTCCCCCTCAGCCAGCTACAACTTCAAGATGACTTTTGAGTCGACTCAAACCCTCCCCGGTGCACCCTTCCCCTTGTGCCAGGTACAACTTCAAGTTCCGCCTGCCTGCTTATTTCTCCCTCGTCGTTAGAAGGTCAGTCAACCCGCCCCGTCCCTTGCTGCCAGTCAACCCGCCCCGTCCCTTGCTGTCAGTCAACCCGCCCCGTCCCTTGCTGCCAGTCAACCCGCCCCGTCCCTTGCTGCCAGTCAACCCGCCCCGTCCCTTGCTGCCAGTCAGGCCTCGCACACGTTTCTGCAATGCATCTTTGCTGCCACGTGTCCTTGCTACTGCTGACTAGTATTGTGCATGCTTGTTTAGTCCCTGGTATGGTAGCAGGGCAGGTTGATTGTTGCTTGACGAATTAGCTTGAATGCCTTCGTGGCACTTGTTTGCTCTCCTTGCAAGGTGAGGCAATCATTTCTGTGCCTTGGTATGTGTGTGCATTGTCGCATGTGTGTGCGGTGCACGTGCGTGTGCGTGCATGTGTGTGCGTGCATGTGTGTGCGTGCATGTGTGTGCGTGCATGTGTGTGCGTGCATGTGTGTGCGTGCATGTGTGTGCGTGCATGTGTGTGCGTGCATGTGTGTGCGTGCATGTGTGTGCGTGCATGTGTGTGCGTGCATGTGTGTGCGTGCATGTGTGTGCGTGCATGTGTGTGCGTGCATGTGTGTGCGTGCATGTGTGTGCGTGCATGTGTGCGCGTGCATGTGTGTGCGTGCATGTGTGTGCGTGCATGTGTGTGCGTGCATGTGTGTGCGTGCATTTGTGTTTGCAGTCTATCAGTGCTGGAAGGGATAGCCTTGAAACGAGATCCTAACTACAAGGTGTGTGTCACGCCCCCCAATGCCCCTCTTCCGCACGCGCATACTATGTGGCAGCCACCACCTCCTGTGCCCTGGCACTATAATCCGACCCACTGCACATATAACTAATACTTGCTGCACAACCAACTCCGTTCTCTCGGGATTAAACACGTTACATAGCTGTCCATGCCTTGGGAGATGTCTCAAAAGCAGCATTCAACACATCTCGTCGTGTCCCACTGAGTCCGCCTTCCCCACATAACCCTGCCCCGGCTCCTCCCCACCAGGTGATCGCCAGCTCGTACCCCTGGATTGCCAAGAAGGTCCTCACAGACCCCTCGCCCCAGCTGCGCTCCACCGTCACCAACTTGCTATTTAAGGTAGCCTTGCTTTTTATGGTAACCTTTCTATTTTTGCCGAAGCCGCATCTGAAGACGATTCTAAAATGTTAAAACGTCTTGAGAGTCTGCTTAAAGAGGTGCATGGTTTTCTGAATCGAGTCAGAAATGGTCTCAACACACTCTTTCCTACCCGCACTACCCTCCCCCTTCCCCCCAACGTGTGGCAACAGGACGGGCAGTTCAGAGTGTCCCGGCTGGAGAGTCTGCTTAAAGAGGTGTGTGGGAGGAGGGATGTGGAAAGAGTAATGGAGTAATGGGTGGGGGAGTGAGAGGGGTGCAAGAAGGGAAGTAGCAAGAGGGGTATGGGAGAGGATTGCGAGGGGTGAGGGGTTCATGACAAGGAGACGGGTTTCGGCAAACCGTGCAGGTGAAGATTTAGGTGTCGTGCGGTGATGTGATTTGTGTGTTGTATCAGGTATCATCAGCCTGTTATTCAAACGCTCCATGGATCCTTTCTCTTTGGTGTCCTGCCCTTGTCTCAAACGCCTGGGCTGTGATTGGTGGGCTGCGGGGGTAGATCATCTACGGCTGGTCCCTGCAGTCGTCCAAGCCCATGTACGGCCCAGATTCAGCCGCCAAGAGCCAATCAACGGACGACACGTCCAAGGAGGGTCGCACGAAAACACTCAAGAGGATCCTCAAGTTTGGGTTGAGTGAAGAGGTGCGTGGTTATTGGGAGGTGGTGACTGTGAGTGGTGAGTGTGAGTGGTGAGTGTGAGTGGTGAATGTGAGTGGTGAGTGTTGAATGTGAGTGGTGAGTGGTGAATGTGAGTGGTGAGTGGTGAATGTGAGTGGTGAGTGTGAGTGGTGAATGTGAGTGGTGATCGAGGGGTTGGGAATGCACCCATGCTTCCATTTCTCACAGCTCTACCATGTCAATCTCAACTGCCATCCGCCAACATGTCAACTGCCAATCTCCAAATCCTGGCGTCTAACGGCACAACAACCCCTGTCTGCTGTGTCCCTGTGGCAGGGCCGGTTCATTCGAGAGCTCCTATTGGATGAAGTGGCCAAGGTACTGCTGCCCTGCACACCCCTCTCCTGTCCTGCGCCGTGCACTGCTCATCACCACACAGCACAAATTATTGCTGGGTTCCTAGAGTGTTGTTCCATAAACTGCAACAAAAAAGCCCCTGCACGGCAGTATCCTCCCCTTCCTTTCTGTTTCCCTGTTTCTCTTCCCTTCGCCACAATCTCCCACTCTCAACTCTTCCCGAGTACTTACTCGAATTTCCCTCTCCTCTCCTTTCCTCTCTCCACCCGTTTCCTCTCTTCCCCACCTCCCAGGGTCTAGACGCACTCAACAGGGTCACTCTCGACGATTCCTCCGCCGCCCTTCTCTCGCGCCTGCCGCCCGCGCTCCGGCCGGCATTTCCCGGCGCGTTACAGCTGGCGACAGAAGAGGACAAGGAGCACCTGGAGAATCTCCGAAGACTGGCCACCATTGTAGCCGACCTTGACCCTTCGGGCGGTCAGGGCGGCGGGGGCAGTGAGGGTGCAAGTGGAGAGGGGGAGAGTGGAGGGTGGGAAGGGATCCAGGCAGCCGTAGATCAGGCGACGGCAATCATCCAACGGCTGCCGTCGCGGGAAGTCTTCACAGAGGTGAGGCATGTGGGGCATGTGGGGCATGTGGGGCATGTGGGGCATGTGAGAGGCGAGCCCACTGCAATTCGCTGTTGCCAGCTCTCCCTCTCGACATCCACCCACGGCTCTTGTCACCACTCTCGCTGCACATTCCTCATGCCACCCCTGCATTCAGCCTACCATGTGGCATGGCATCCCAGTCCCTCGTTCCCCCATCCTTTCTTCTTGACTCTGAGTCACGTCACTTCTTCTCACAACCCTTTGCCTCTGCCCCTCTCCTGTGTCTGTCTCTCCCCTCCCCGCCCTGTCTCTACTCCTGCTTTGCTGTTTGGGCGGTGCCGTGGCATACAGTTGCCGCTGCCAGCGCAGCAGACGGCACTGCTGCTGCCAGTGGAGCTGGCAGGGAGGGTGGCATCGCGCACTGTAGCTCGCACCATCCGCAGCAACGTGCGCGCCCCGACAAGACCTGCTTGACATGCCACTCGTCCTTTCTAACAGTAGCTCAAATGCAACGTTCTACAAGGCTTGATTCGCACTGTCCGCAGCAACGTGCGCTGTTCTACAAGAACTGCTTGACATGCATTCCCACCCAGTTCATGTGCGCTGCGCAATGTACCAACAATAAATTTGGATGTCAAGTCACAAGTAACAAATTATTATGGTCATTACCTTATCTTTCGTAAGCGTTGATCCAAGCGTCACTTTACAATATCATTACCTCCATTCACCACCTATCTTTCAAAGTAAGCTGGTGTTGTCAGTAATGGACAATTCAGTAGCCTATTTTTCTGGCCAGCATAGCCAGAAAATGCATGAGGCAAGCACACCATGATCCACTACATGCATCGATCTGAAATGTACCCAGCAGTCGTATCAGCCGACCAGCATGTCCTACCAGCAATCCTACAAGCACCTAGCCAGCGCAAGCCAGGTAAAAGCAGGGTGGCTGACCACCCTAAAATCCCTGTCCAAGGCCCCCTCTCCCTGCATGACTGCCAGTCTCCCTCCCTTGGAACAAGCCAGAGAGCAACGAGCCCCTCAGAGCTCATCCTTGGCATCAGCGACAGCACCCTCGCCCTCGTCCGCCTTGCCACCCGCAGCCAGCTCGGCCTCCTCGGCCTTCTCCTCGGCGCTCTTCTCCCCCTTGGCAGCTGTCTTGTTCTTCTGCACGAACTCCACCAGGCTCGCCTTGCTGCGGTCACCACTGTAAGACACCACCTTGCCTTCAGACGTGTACAGATAGATGGTGGGGAAGCCCTTGACAGAGAAGGTTGCCTGTGGGACGTCGTTGGCGGTGGCGTCCTGTAGGTGGGGGAATAGAAGGGGGGAGGGGGGATGAGTGGTGCGGTCGCCGCTGTAAGACACCACCTTGCCCTCAGACGTGTACAGGTAGATCGTGGGGAAGCCCTTGACAGAGAAGGTTGCCTGTGGGACGTCGTTCGCGGTGGCGTCCTGTAGGTGGGGGAAAGAAGGGTAAAGAGAACGGGAGGGGGGATGAGTGATGCGGTCACCACCTTGCCCTCCGACGTGTACAGGTAAATGGTGGAGAGGCCTTTCACTGAGAAAGTCGCCTGTGGCACGTCGTTTGCAGTAGCATCCTGGTGGGGGCTGTGGTGATCTGGGGTGTGGGATGTGGGGTGGGGGGTGTGGCAGTGGGGAGAGGTGGTGGTGGAGGTTGCGCAGAAGGGAAAGCGAGGCTGGGGAGAAAGAAGGAACCCTCTTCATTCACCCTCAGGGCACCAAGCACTTATCAAGTTGTGATCTTCCTCACTCTCATCCCAATCTCTCCTCCTGTTCTTCCCAACAACTCCACTCCCCACTCATTTCCCAAGATCTCCTCACACTCCTCCAAACCCTCCTCACGCTGAGCTGCACTCACCATCTTGGCAACAATGACGTCGGGGTCGCTGGCGAGCGCCTCCCCCACCTCCTTGTAGATGGGCTCCAGCTTGAGACGCCTTGAAACTCAACCTCTCCTCACACTCTTCCCTATCCCTCCTCACGCTGTGAGTTGCTCACCATCTTGGCAACGATGACATCGGGGTCGCTGGAGAGCGCCTGCCCCACCTCCTTGTAGATGGGCTCCAGCTTCTTGCAGTGCCCGCACCACGGCGCGTAGAACTCGATCAGCACTGCCACCCCATCGCACCGCACCGCACCCATGCACGCCACATACGCCCAACGCAATTATCAACAGCGAGCATGACGCACTTGTGCGGAAGGGTTGAGAGGTGTGGCAGCAGCAGCACAAGACGGGTGGCAGCAGGAGCAGGCACATTGAGAGGGTGAGTAGCAGCAGGACAAGAGGGGATGGAGGAGAGGAGAGGTGAGAGGGAATGCTGCAGAACAGCAGGGACTCACCGTTCTTGCCCGAGTCGAAGACCATCTCCTGCATGGCATTGGCGACGAGCACCTTCACGGGACCGCTGTTGTCCGCCGGGATCGGCTCCGACTTCACCACCCGCTCCGCCTCGCCCGCCTGCACGCCCCACACATGCACATGCACCCCAGCAAAGTTGTTCTCTTTATATTTTGTTTTGCTGTTCCTTTCTCCACTCTCTCTCTTCCAGCAAGTAATGATCTCGAATCTGTACACCTGCCAAAAGCTCAGTGTCCGATTTCAGCCCCCCCACAACAATAAGCCCCCCCCATGCATGCTGAACTTTTTAAGCATCCCATCTCCATCACGCTACCTTCAAGATGCTTCCCTACGACCCAACCCATGCACGGTGCGCTTACCTTGAACTTGGCGATGAAAGCGGCGATGTCGGCGGGCTGGATGAGGCTCTTCACGAACTTGCCGTCCGACTCGGGATCGTGGACGATGATCGCTGGCGTGTCCGCCGCCGTCAGCCCGAAGTACTGCCAGTGGGGAGGGGGAAGAGGGGGGGGGGAAGAGAAGCGAAGAGAGAGGTGTTGGAGCACACACAGTATGCAATCAGTTTCTAGGGAAAGAAGCAACCGCGGATATCACACCGCAGCAGCACTGCGTGCTGAGGTCATGCGTGCACCTTGAGCGGTCGCACCTTGAGCGCTACATGTTCTAAACGGTCACCTTGCGCGCTGAGGTGAGGCGCGCAACTGAGCGCTGAGGTGAGGCGCGCAACTGAGCGCTGAGGTGAGGCGCGCAACTGAGCACGGCATGAGGTCAAGAGTCACCTTGAGCGCGTGGTCGTTGACGGCCGCCTCGCCGATGACGAAGTGGATGGCGTCGGAGTGCGCTTTGGCCGCGCTGGTGTACTCCGCGCGGAAGTCCGCCGCGTTGTCCGCCTTGTACGAGAAAAACAGCAGCGCCTGCGCACGCAAAGATATTGCCGCACAAGGAAGGCAGAACAGGGAAGGTGGCACATGAAAGGCCGCCAAGGAACGCGGCACAGGGGGGCGGTAAAGGGGAGGTGGCACGTGGGCAGGGGCAGGACGGGACAGGCTATCGGCAGCTACTCTTCCGAGCAGGAAGCATGGGGAACGAGGCGCGTGGGGCGCGTTGGCGTACCTTGGGCTTGTTGGATTCGAAGACCTTGGTGAGGAAGGTGCGGTCCTTGGGGTCCTGCGAGAACTCGATCACCAGCGGCACCGAGTGCTGCTCCACGAACGCCTTCAACGCCTCCACCTCCACCGCCTACTCAACCATGCCCATCCACAGCATTGGAATTCAATACATGGCCACAGAGCAATTCAGAGACGCTTCAAGGGTCAGAATGTGCTCAATCGTCGCGGAAGAGACCCAGATTATACCGCCGATATCGGCGAATTGCGCGAACAAGTTTGACAGCGCAACTCACGGTGGTGTCGGCGAAGCCCTCGTCGAACTGCTTGAGCACGCGCACGGCGGGCGCGGCGAGCGGCCCTCCGGTCTCGGGCAGCAGCGCGGCATCAGTGGTGTGCACGAAGACATAGTCGGAGCGGAAGAGAGACGCCACGGCCGAGAACGCCTTGAACTCCTCCGATTCGAGGTCCTTGAACACGCCCACCTGCGCAACAATGCGAACACAATCCGTGAACTCCTGCTGCTCACCCTCTTGTCCTCTCAGCCTCTCACCCTCTCGGTCTTTCGGGCTCTCACCCTCTCATCATCACCTCAGACTCTCCTGCTCTTCCTCCTCTCAGCGTGCGAAACTGAACGGACGGTATTGAAGAAAAAGTGGCTGGCGATCAATACGGCGCCCATGCTCTTTTGAGTCGACTCAAAAGTCACCTCGCGTTGTTGTCCAAATTCGAAATCAAAACAGATGTTGGGTTCGAGTTCGCGTTGTTGTTCCCATTCGAATTCGCTCGCGTTCATGTTCAGTTTCGAGTTAATGTTCGAGTGGGCGTACCACGACGACGCTCTCGGACGCGGCGAGGTCCTTGATGTGCTCTGCGGACTTGGCCTCGCTCGTCGCCGGGCCGCTCTGCTTGTTCAAATAGCTCACAATGCCATCCGCGTCGCGCGGCCCGTTGTAATCCTGGGGGGTGTCCGAACCCCTGTTGGAAGAAAGGAAAAAAAAAGCAGAAGCAAGAAACAAACAACGTAGAAACGACGGAGGAAACAAACCTCAGCACCCCGAATGGACAAATCTGCAATGCTAAGATCCGTAACGGTAAGATCCGCGAACGAAATATGCGTACTTGCGGAAGATCTTGAGGGTGGGGAAGCCCTTGACGTCGTATTTCTTCGCGAGGCCCTTGTTCTTCGCCTCGTCCGCATCCACCTTGGCCAGCTTCACCGCCGATCCCGCCTCCGCAAGCGCCTTAGCCGCTTTCTCGTACTGCAACCACGACAAAACACGAGTTTCCGGCGTGAATACGAGCGTTTTACTGAGACGCACATAAATTCAAGAGACGATGCTCAAGGCGTACCTCTGGAGCCAAGTTCTTGCAGTGCCCGCACCTGCAATCCGGCCACAGCGAGTCAATGAACAGACACGGTCGGTAAGTGCACTACCCAAAAAAGGGCAAAAAAAAAAGAAAAAAGGTTAATGAGTTCCTGTAACAAGGAGTGAGAATATAGCGTACCACGGCGCGTAGAACTCGACAACAATAAACTCTTCGTTGGGGACCACCTCGTCGAAATTCGAGGAATCGAGGGTAATCACATACTCCTTTCCCTCAACAAGCACGAGAGGAACCAGCAGCAGAGCGCATAGCCCCAGGAGGCAAGATAAGGACGGCTGGGGAGCCATGGTGCTGAGATCTGAAAAAACGCAGCCGTGTGTCCGGTGATTTCAAATCTGATGCTTTCGGGATCTCCAAGAAAAATCTGCTCGAGGAAATGCAGAAGGAGGCTTTCCACTAGATTTGTGTGACCAATTCCAAATGGCTGTGCTTGCCGATCTTCCCGCACCGAGACGAAAAGCGGTAATGCGCAATAGTGAGGGTTCGCTATTATTTAGTGGTTAACTTATGAATTAGCAGCAACCAGCTAGTAAAGAGGAAGAGAAACACGTTCCTGAAAATCATATATTTTCAGCCCGAATTTGGATAGCTGGAACTCCTGAGAAAATGGTGGCATTGGCCAAGCCTGGTAGAAGTATGATGCGCTTGGCTGGGTGGGTGTCGGTTTAGCTTAGTCACTATGTGTATCTTTGTCTCTTCTTTGTTCGGTGCGGTGACTCTTTTGTCCTGGTTTGATTGGGGGGTGCACCTTACCATACCTCACCATACCTCAGCATCGGTACCTCAGATTACCATACAATACCTTAGCATGCACCACCCTTCTCATGCACTAGCAATCATCTATGTTTGTATGCCTCGCTACTAATGCCATGCTACTATACTACTGCTACTCCTGTTGTTGCTATTTCTGTTGCCTTCAGTTGACCTGCGAAGGGCAGAAGGCGATGCAGAGAGGCAGGGACGTCAGTGGGGAGGACGATTAACACAGGGGGGGGTTACACAACAAGAAGGGAGCACAGTGGAAAGGAAAACTCTAGCTGGAGAGATCACGAGGGCATTAGATAAAGGGAAGAGACAATAGAAAACGAGGCGAAAGTAAGAAGAACATGACCTTAAAGAGCAGAGAGGGGCATGGCAGGCAGAAGCAGGCGGGAAGGCAGACGGACACAGTTGACAGCACAGCAGGCAAGCATGGGTGGGTGGGTGCAGCAATAAGGATTACACTCACCCTATTCTTTTCCAACCAACATCCTCCCTTCTATCCTTAGCTGACCCACCGTTCCATCCTGCTGCCCTCAGTCCCCTCATTGCCTCCTTGCGTCCTCCCTCCTGGCACTGCACTTGCAACTGAAGTGACAAAACCACACATAAGTGGGTGTAGGAGGGATTAGCATAGAAAGAGGAACCGACCTGAAAAAATACAACTTCAACAGTAAGCAGTCGACATGAGAAGTAAGGAGTGGGCTGCAAAGAGGCAGTGACCTGATCTGGTGTGTGACTTGTGAGCTTGAAGGCGGGAGGGCAGGGCAGAAGGACACAGTCGACAGCACAGCATGGCAAGCATGTGTCGGTGGGTGCAGCGAGGGGAGTCACTCACCCTGTTCGTCTCCCAACAACCCATCCATCCTCCCTTCTGTCCTCGTCCACATCCTCCTGTGATGCATCAGAAGGCGGATCCCCACTCCTCACTCGCACTGCACCTTCGTGGGACGCCTGTCAGCACATCCCTGGGCCTCAGTCAGGGAAGACACCCCAACTCAGAAAAGCCAATACAACACAGCAGCAAGCACAGAGGATAGTTCTTCAAAAGCAGCAATGGAAAAGGTATAAAGAAAAACCATGATGGATTCTAAGACTTGCCGCACGGCGACCTAGACTGCTTTCCCCCTCCGATAGACCCGTCAGCCACTTACTGTTGTGCAGTTGTGAACGAAATTTTCACTCTCAGACAGTGACGCCTCGGAAGGCGAATCCTCACTCCTCACTCGCACCGCACCTCAGTCAGGGATGCACACACACACACATGGGAGGAGAGACAGCCACAGAGAAGCGGCACCAACCAACAAGGGAGGGTTAGAAGGAGCACGAGGCGAGTGGCGGAGGCAAAAGCAGGAGACACGACTCTTGCCTCTTCGCGGCGACGCCCTACGACTCACCACGGCCCCCCTGCAAGCATCCCCTGGCACGTACCATGCTCTGTCCGCCGATCTGTCATGCCTTCCTCTCATTTGTGCTGCTCCAGGTTGCTCCAGGTTGCTCCAGGTTGCTCCAGGTTGCTCCAGGTTGCTCCAGGTTACTCCAGGTTGCTCCTGGTTGCTCCTGGTTGCTCCTGGTTGCTCCAGGTTGCTCCAGGTTGCTCCTGGTTGCTGCCGCTGCCCGAGCTTGTTGGCCGTGAGGCACACGCACACATGGGAGGAGAGACAGCCACACAGAAGCGACACCAACAAAGGGAGGGAGGGTTAGAAACAGCACGAGGCGGTGGCGGAGGCAAAAGCAGGAGACACGACTCTTGCCTCTGCGCGGCGACGCTCTATGACTCACTACACTCCCCCCTGCAGGCACCCCCTGGCACATACCACACTCTGTCCGCTGCTCTGCCACTCCTGCACCAAGCCTTCCCTTCACGCCTGCTGCTCCAAGTTGCTCCAGTTTGCTCCGTTGCTCCGGCTGCCCATGCTCGCAGGCCGTGAGGCACACACACACACGCATGGGGAGAGAGACACGCACACAGAAGCGGCACCAACAAGGGAAAGGGAGGGTTAAAAACAGCACGAGGCGAGTGGCGGAGTCAAAAGCAAGAGACACGACTCTTGCCTCTGCACGGCGACGCTCTATGACTCACTACACTCCCCCCTGCAAGCACCCCCTGGCGCGTACCACACTCTGTCCGCTGCTCTGCCACTCCTGCACCACGCTTTCCCTTCACGACTGCTGCTCCAAGTTGCTTCAGGCTGCTCCGTTGCTCCGGCTGCCCATGCTCGTAGGCCGTGAGGCACACACATGCACGCATGGGGAGAGAGACACACACACAGATGCAGCACCAACCAACAAGGGAGGGTTAGAAACAACACGAGGCGAGTGGCGGAGGTAAAAGCAAGAGACACGACTCTTGCCTCTGCGCAGCGACGCTCTATGACTCACTACACTCCCCCCTGCAGGCACCCCCTGGCACGTACCACACTCTGTCCGCTGCTCTGCCACTCCTGCACCACGCCTTCCCTTCACGCCTGCTGCTCCAAGTTGCTCCAGGTTGCTCCGGCTGCCCATGCTCGCAGGCCGTGAGGCACACAAACACACGGGAAGAGACACACGCACACAGAAGCGGCACCAACAAGGGAAGGGAGGGTTAGAAATAGCACGAGATTAGTGGCGGTGTCAAAAGCAAGAGACACGACTCTTGCCTCTGCGCGGCGACGCTCTATGACTCACTCCACTCCCCCCTGCAGGCACCCCCTGACACATACCACACTGTGTCCGCTGCTCTGCCACTCCTGCACCACGCCTTCCCTTCACGCCTGCTGCTCCAAGTTGCTCCAGGTTGCTCCGTTGCTCCGGCTGCCCATGCTCGCAGGCCGTGAGGCACACAGACACACACGCATGGGGAGAGAGACACGCACACAGAAACGGCACCAACAAGGGAAGGGAGGGTTAGAAACAGCACGAGGCGAGTGGCAGAGGTAAAAGCAAGAGACACGACTCTTGCCTCTGCGCGGCGACGCTCTACGACTCACTACTCTCCCCCCGGCAAGCACCCCCTGGCACGTACCATGCTTTGTCCGCCGCTCTGCCGCTCCTGCAAGCCACGCCTTCACTTCAGCCGTGCAGCTCCACGTTATCTTGTTCTTGTCGTTAATGCTGTTGCTGCTGTTGCTGCTCGTAGGGCTTTCGGCTGATCCTCCTTGCTGCTCGGAGGACAGTTCGCTGAACCACCCGTGCAGCGTCCCTCCTCCCTCCCTCCTCATCACACACAGGGCGCACACGAGCAGAGACGGCAAGAGGGGATACAGATGTGTTAGAGCAGCACGGAAACAAGAAAGACGCTCGATAGCAGCAACACTAGACTCAAGACGCCTGCGCGGCGGACTCCTAAGTCCTATGCGTTCCCCCCCGCTTGCGTGCTACGGACACGCACCTTTTTTAAGCCGCATCTTCTGTCGTATCATGATGTGTGCGTCGAATCCGCGCTGCTGCTGCCGATACCACCCAGTGTCTCGCAATCCGCGTTTAGCCGCTGCTGTTGGGTTAGATCTGCGACAATACTCGCACACGCACATCTTGATCCGCCACGCCTCTACTTGCAATATTCTGCGTTCCGCCACTCTTTATCCTTCGCGGTTTTCTCAAAGTGCAGAGTGCGAACGCCAACGAAACTCGGTGACCTCCGCGCAACGTAGCAAACGGTAGCGCGTCGCACAACAGCGAAAGTCGGCGAGCTCAGCGACGTAGGTAACGGTAGCGCGTCGCAGAACAGCGGAAGTCGGCGACCTCAGCGCAACGTAGCGAACAGTAGCGCGTCGCACAACAGCGAAAGTCGGCGACCTCAGCGCAACGTAGCGAACGGTAGCGCGTCGCAGAACAGAGAAAGTCGGCGACCTCAGCGACATTGCTAACGGTAGCGCGTCGCAGAACAGCGGAAGGCGGCGACCTCAGCGCAACGTAGCGAACGGTAGCGCGTCGCACAACAGCGGAAGTCGGCGACCCTAGCGCAACGTAGCGAGTGGTAGCGCGTCGCACAACAGCGGAAGGAAACTCAGCGAAGGTGAACGGTAGCAGCTCGGCAGCAGCTCCGCGAATAGCGGCGACACTCGGCGAACGGCACCCATAGTCGGCGAACGGTAGCGGAACATGGCGAACGCCATGTTGCGAAGTTGGCGAACGGCAACGAATATCAGTGACCGCGAAGTCGGCTAACTGCAGCGACACTCGGCGAAGCGCAGAGAAACTCGGCAAACGGCAGCGAAAGCCGCCGACGAACGCCATGCGAAAACGGTGAAAGGAGGAAGAGACGGCTGGATGAAATGCCGTGTGCAGAGACGGAAGTGACCAGCGTGGTAGGAGGCATTGAAGAAGATGATCATCTGGATCCCAAGTTACGATCGCTAAGGGGGATTAGCACCGGACCCTGAAGGTTCCGACTATGGCGTACGTCATGAAAACGGATAATGGAGACCGCGAGTCTATTTTGCAACTAAGAACCGCGTACCAAGGATGTTGATCGGTCCTGCGACCTAGAAGAAAGAACCGCGTACCAAGGATGTTGATAGTCCTGCGACTCAGAACTAAGAGA